CCTGCCCCTTTAGTGGTCTCTGCACGGCCCTGGTGTACTAAGACGGAAAAAAAATCTAAATCACATTTTCAAGTACATGGATGAAAATTAGTTTTTCTTTAGATACAAATGAAAGTAGCTTTAGACAAATTATTGATATTGGATTACTGCATGAGGATTTGAATTGACCTTCTGGAAAAAAATGAATCAGACTTCTTTCTTTTAGCATGAAGCACATTTTTTTCCTCCCCTCCGAACATGTTTACAGTCAGACAGAAAACTTTTAGTCACAAAAACATTTGAAATCTTCCCAATTTTTAAGGATGAAAAATGTTCCCACGAGTTTATGAAGAGTAATTATTCTAGCAGCAAAAATCTATGTCTGTTATGTTTTTCTTTTTTTGTTTTATTTTTACATTTTACCTTTAAATATTTCATGCTTTATTTTTACTTACACTGAGCTGGTTCTTTTTTCTTCTCCACATTTTCGTACTCTCTGTCATTCTCATATTTAGCTGGAGGGTTAGAAGATCAGTGAGCTTTACACAACTTAGTGATTAAAAAACACATTACTTATAATTAAAGTGAAATATGGTAATGTCTTTTAATAAGACAACCTATCACCATATTCGCTTTAACACATTTTTAGAAAATTAGCCATCAGACTGCATTCTGACTGCTCTCATTCAAAATACCTTTACTAAACGTTCTAAACCAAAAAATGCTGTCAGTCTCTTTTTGCAAACATCTTTTATCTTCCGAAATCAAACACAGGTAATAGAATGATGGGTTGTTCATTTAGCCATAATTCTAAAAAATCTATGTAACAGTTAATTTAAAACTTCCCACAAATGATGATAAAAGGTTGGTAGCACAAAACAAATGTAGAAGATGTGCAAAAATAGCTTCTTTGCTTGGAAAGGTTTCTGACATCAATTATCACATAAGTAGAGATGCAGAGTGAGTTACTTTGAATAATATATTTAGAAGATGAGCTTACCTTCTGATTTGGGCCGTTTGCTGCTTTTGATAACTACGGGACCAGCTCCTTTCTCTGCCATCTCTGCAGGTTGGATCTGACTCATAGAGCAGATCACCCCTTGAAGAGAGATTTATGAAAAAGTTTAGGTGTTTTTTATTGCTCTTGATTTGCAGATGTCAGCTTTGCTGAAGTCTGCATACTTCCAGGGGAAGTATGCAGAGTTCCAGGGGAGAAAAGCTGTTTTCTGCAAAATTAAAATTTTAAATGATACAGTTTTAATCGTTTTATATTTGTCTTGATATATTTTTGTGTTTTTTTTTTTTAATTCTTCCTGTAAAAAGTTATAATAATCAAAACAATGCGTGAGGAATGTGATGAGTAGAAACAACAAAAATAAAATAAGATGAAAGTTATAATCTTGGACTTACGATGTCAAAGATGTTATTTCAGGAGCGAAATGATCACACAGATTTTATTTTCTGGGCATAGAGAATAATTTCATGAATGTTCAGTAAATATCTCATGTTGGTTTAGTTTGAGGGACAGACATTATCTGTTCATTTTAAAATTAAGATAATTGTGTGAAAATGTAAGTAAAATAATTTGACCAGACATTAGTTCTATTCAGAACAACAATGTTAAAACATTAAAACATGTTAAATGTATCAAAACATTTAACATGAGACACCACTGAACATTTACAAAAAAATCTATCTATTTCATGGCCCAGTCATTTTGGAAAGAAGGATGCAGTACCTGCTGGACAAAAATCCTCTAATGTAAGAAATGACCTTCAGAAAACCGGAATCACATCTGTCCTCAGCCTCTTTTTAATTAATCTGAATATCTAATTTATTAGGCCCAGGAACAAACTGGAGAATACCATAACATGTGTTAAATAAATACATTTTGAGAGCTTCAAATGCAGAGAGAGACACTTTATATATGCCAGTACCTTTCAGCTGAAGGTTGAATAAAGGTGGGATGCGTTCACAAAATGACCTTTCAGCTTAAATTATTATAACTACTATAAATAAAGTACATTTTAATATTAATTTTAAGACATTTATATTAAAATCAATGATAAACTATTAATTTTATTTGAAGGTTTTCCATGTAATCTGAATCCTTCATGTTTAAACAGATAAAGCCGCCTTCCCCTCCGTTCTCTTCGGTGCAGCTCACTGATGTCCATTCAGGGCTTTAAGAGAAGTTACACATTTACCATCAGTCGCAGGCTGCTGCTGTTTCCAGGCTCTAAGAACAAACATCAAATCAAGATTTGTTTTATACACAGTTTAAAAGATAATGTGTCTCATTGATTGGTCAGGTCACTTCCATAGATCCATTTCCATTTCCCTTCAACAGCTCTGACACCAATCCAGTATCCATTAATGTTCTTATTAACCCAAATTTTTCCTTCAAGAAATATTTGTGGAGAATAAAATTAAAAGCTTTCCACAGCTTTCAATCTTGTCATTTTTGCAGGAGGTGGTTAATCATCTAAAACCAACAAGTTCTCCAGATAATGCAATTTATCTCACTGTAGGTCCTTCAGTTCTTGGTCTTGTTAACAGCAGTCTATCTTCAGACCTGAAACTCTGAGACTTGCAGTTGTCTCAAATCAAGAAACATGTACCACAAATTGCATTAGAGGACATTTTACTGTAAGGTGAGTGGGGCAGGAGTGAGAAACTGGTTTTGTTAAATACAAATTATGTCTGTGACTATTAGATAAAAAGCAAAGATAAACCTTTTCATTTTCTGCAGCAACATAAACCCAGCAAATTCTCAGTTTCTGTTAATCTGAGAATTTGTTGGGTTGGGTTTTAGTTTTACTTCAGTTTTATTTGGCGCATTACACTTTGGTTTGCTTTGCTTCATTTGACAATCAGGAGTTGTTCTTATGAAATAATAGGAATATAAATACCAAACTGTGGAATTAAAATGCCACTGTTTATCTGATTTGTACAGTTTGTCTTTGTTTTATTCACAATAATAATTTAAAAACAAGCACATGCATCGTAAAGACACACCACTTCAACATTTAAAAATATCTAATTATTTTATTACCCCAGTCTTCTTTAAAAAGTGCTGCAGCACCCCCTGCTGGTCAAAAATCATTAACTCTGAAGCAATTGTCTACGGAAACAGGAAGTACATCAGCCCTCAGTTTCTTTTAATGAATCTGAATATATCATGTGAAATTGACACAAATAGTAGAAAAGTCTTTTAAAGTTGTACAATAAAAATATTTTATGCCACTTAAAGATACTTACTATTTCTAAATTCTGGTGTTGTGTTCAGAGTATTGATTATTTTCAGTGAAGGTGGGATTTGATTTGTGGTTATACAAAGTAAATTTACAGCTTTAATTATTTCAGTTAATGCACAAATTATTATAATTATATAATTTTTATTGCTATGGTTAATAAACTATAGTTTATCTTTTGTGAGAAAATATAAGTGAAACTTAAATTTACATTTAGGTTTTTCTATAACCTCTTTTAGTCTGAATATTTCATTTTAAACAGATAAAGCCTTCTTCTCACAGATCCACGTGTTCTTCTCAGTACAGCTCACTGATGTCCATTCTCGGTTCTGGAGAGAAGTTACACATTGACCATCAGTGGCGTTCTGCTGCTGTATCCAGGCTCTAAGGAGAAACATCAGTTAGATCAAGCTGATAGATTTATTTTATACTTAGGTTAAAAGACAATGTGTCTCTCACTGATTGGTCAGATCACTTCCATCGATCCATTTCCATCTCCCTCCTTCAGCTCTGAGACCAATCCAGTATCCATTAATGTTCTTATCAACCCAACTGTTGCCTTTAAGAAATGTCTGTGAACAATAAGATAAAATTATTACATATTTATTTCACATAAATGACCAACAGTTTGTGTTAAACATGTATTTGTAATATATACAATAAGTTTCCTCCTCTGTCTTTACCTTTTCATCTTCATTACCAACAACAGTCAGATCTGAACTCCTTCCTCTGCAGTTTTTTCGTGCTTCTTCCCAGGTTTTCTGATTCTTAGGTTCAACATTATTAACTACATAGCAGCTGGACTGATAGTGAAGCCAACCTTTCTGACAAGAAGCACACTGTCTCTCTGAAACAACAGAGATCAATGAGTAAACATTTGGTCTGGCCAATATAAATATTATCAGAGCTAATCTTTTACCACAAAGAGATCTGAACATACTTTTGTCTTTGGGACAGTATTGATCAATGATCCACTGAGCTTGACTGACGTTCTGCTCATTCCAGGTTTTCTTCATGCTTTCTACTTGCTCGGTGAGGTTTTTCTTCTCTGTCTGCAGCTCCTGGTTTATCTTTTTAACCTGATCAAGTTCTGTTGACAGGTTTTGAATTTTCTCTATCAAAGCTGCTTCCTTGGTCTTCAGCTGATTCAGCTCAAAGTCAACACTAATGTGAACTGAGACAATGATAAGAAAAACATTAATGTTGATGATGTGCTTCATTATTATTCATTACATGTTTTGTACTTGATCTAATAAGCCTACTTTGGATACTTTTCAACTGTAAGAGGAGTAAAACCATCTGTAGTAAATTGTTTATTTAATATTCTGAAAAGTGTTTACAAACTGCAGCTCAAATTAAAATCTGAAAAATATATGAACTTATTTTGCATGTCATAAGCAAAGCTCTGCATCCGAATTCTACAAAACAAATCACAAATAAAAATCTAATGTTATATTACTCAGAGTCCAGAAAATTAACAGCATCACAGTAAAAATTTCATCTGACGAGTGTTTAAAAGGAGGTTTGTTGAAATGAATATTATCTGAGAGCTCTGGTCAAATGTAATCTAAGTAACAAGAAGCTGATAATTAAACAAGTTTAAATGTTTGATGTGACCTTTTGAAAGAAACTCACGGTGGATATGAAGTGGGATAACTACCAACAGAATCATCCAATAAGCTGCTAGTTGGAAAAGCTGAGGGATTGAAGAAAACGTGTGACCTGATGGAAAGAATTTAAGTGTAGTTTTAGTATCTGGACAAAATTCAACAGCAACTCTGAATGTATTTTCTAAGTTTATAAAAAGTTTTTTTTTATAATTATTATTGTTTTTCAAGTTTAAAATGTTATACCTGGAGCAGCTCTCATCTTTTCTTCAGCACCAGCGATCTCATTAACATAGTCAGCTTCTTCAATTTCCTCTGAAATTAACAAAAAACCAAAACAAATGTTTCTACTAACTTCAGGTTATCTTCAACAGAGAAGAAACTAGTTATTTTCACTTTCATTATTCTGGCTTTAACTCAACTTATTCTTTTGTTGGCTGTTTAAATAAAATACATAACTGTTATACTACCTGCAGATAAAGAAGCATTCGGGTTATCATACGTACCATCCAGACTTTGTGCTTTTCTGTTCATCTTGTAAAAGTCTTAACACCACATAAAGGCTGAAGGGAAACTGGTATTGAGAACAACATGTTGACTTCATACCTCTATCAATGCTCTTTAGTTCTGCTTTTATGGTGTGTTGAAATTCTTTGGTGTCAAACTGGCGTCATCGGAACATGATCTGCAGCTCTCACTGGAGCGGTTCGCGGTCGAGTGCGAAGCAGCCGGGATGAGGCTCAGTGCCTTCAAATCCGAGGCCATGGTCTTGAGCCGGAAAAGGGTAGAGTGCCTTCTCTGGGTCAGGGG